GAGGACGCAGTGAGGCTCCCATGCTGGCAGTTGGCCAGAGCGTATGAACGAGAACAACTCAGATAATACGGCGAGCAGATGGAACCAACGAGGAGCTCATAACATGGATGGAATAGCAGTGTAATTGTCGAAAGGAATGATGAAAGTGACCAGAGGATTGCGAGCAGATTAGAATGTGTTCAAAATAATTTCGAGCATTGCGATCGGCTCCCGGGCGAATAGGAGCTTTCCGAATGCCAAAATCGCTCGTAACCGTTTACAATCTCCGAGAGTTTTTCCTGATGATTGTGTCGACGAAATTTCATTCAATCAGTCTCCAATCCGTCTCTGATCCACCTTGAGCTCAGTGGTAGAGCGCGCCACTCGTATGTGCGGTCATGGTGAGGTCGGTTGTTCAATCCAGCCAGAGGGCATTTGTTTTTGCGGGTTTTTTTTTCAGTGAAATTCTCATGAAATAATGTCAAGCTCAGTGATACTTAGAGCACGCCACTCGTGCAAATGTCTGGTCATCTAGCTAGGGAGAGGTCACTTGTTCCCGCCGAAGCGCACCCGAAGAGTCTACTCGTGTTACCCTCATCAGGACTCCGATAAGTACAGTTTCAGTTGCGGGTCGATTACAGCCAAGAGGTTCAGGGAACCTCTGGTATAGCTTTCTATGTGCTGCTCCCGAGTGAAATGGACATGGTTTTGTTTAGGAACATGGTTTTGTTTAGGAACGGGGTAGTCAGTCACGGAATTGTAGCGTGAACGCGAAGATTACAAGTCCGCGGCTATCCGCGGGTAAGTACAAGAATTCATGGTATTCACGCGACCGACTTACCGTACATACACGACTGAACGAGGGGAAAGTAACAAATGCAAGCGCGATGCAAGGTAAACCACTTAACCAATTCCCTTGACCTTGCGAGGTCAATGGATTCGATCTGGGAATAAGGGTACCGAGTGGCGCGACCAAAAAAGTCATTGCGTCAACGTGGTGCACAGAAAGAGCAGCCCGTCCCGTCGTCAGAAACACACGCGCCCTCAGGGCGCTCACTTTACGCGGATATGGAGGGATATGGGCGCGGTGTCATAGAACGTCGAGGGTCAAAGCACGCATCAAAGGGCGCACATTCCCAGGGTCAAACGTGCCGACACAAAGGCCAAAGCGCGCAGTGGCCACCTTCAAAAGCGAGTCCTTTAGCCATTCATCTTGAACCACAACCACAACCATCCAAAACTAACTTGAACTTACTGTGTCTTTTGGAACTTGTCGTCTTTGCCCGTATTCATCCTCATTCTCATCTATCCCATTGAGCACCATGTCCTGCCACTTCCTCGAGAACAACGGCGCCCCCATCGCCGCCACCGTCCCCTTCAACTTGAAACAGGTGATCATGGTAAGTGTTTGCGGCAACATTACTGATCATTCTGTCGCTAACACGCACTGTAGGAGCCTCCCGCTCTTCACATGCCCCGCCCTGTCCGCCCCATCCAATTTTCCATCGACAAGTTTGAGGAATGCTGCAGCATCGACAGTAGTCTCTGCCGAGGTTCCTTGCAAGAGGGGTGGCACCCTTCGCAAGTGGCGACTGCGTCCAACAGTCCGAAGATCGGCGAGCCCGTCACCTGGCCGCCCAAATTGTCCACAACAACCCGCCTGCCACCGCCGACAGCCTCGTACACGGTGACGGAACATTCCTACGCGTCGACCGTGATCGATTCCAAAGACTTCCCCCTGCTTCAAAGGCCGTCGTTCACGCCAGTGTGGGGACAAGGGTGGTTTGACCCCGACTCTGTTACGATGCCCATAACCAGCCAAATCCTTCCGGGGCCCGTGTACACATCCGTACCAGACACCTCCATGCCAGCCTCCACGCACTCCGATACAAATACAGAGGAGCAGGAAGTGGAAAACGCCGAGGAATTCCTGCCGTCGTTGCTCCTAGACAACATATGTGGCGATCTTCACAGTAGGAGACCCCCTACGGTCATCGGCTACCCCGTGGGACACGATGCACCATCCCAGGAGTGTGAGGACTGTGCGCGGGCAACAGCCGCGGCGATCCCGGAAAGCGAGTGCATAGTCCTGGATCTCGACGTCGAGGAGGCCTGGACGGCGGATGCCGACTTCCTCCCACTCCCCCAGCTTCCTGCGCCGCTTGTGCATTCGACTCAGCCTGTCGTCGACCTATCACATGAATTCGTGGTCTACGCAGATGCGGGCAGACCGCGAGAGATGTGGAGTGACGACTCCGGATATTTCTCCGGTCAACGACACAACGGCACCCCCGTAAATGGCCCGAATGAGCTGCCGTCCATGGCAGAGCTATGGCAGGCGGCCTTCATGTACGGTGATAATCCTGTGGAGGGTGCAACCTATACCGGCGAGGACCACATCGATTGTGATCTGACTTGGCCATTCATCCTCCAATCGTCCGTCCCCGCCGTGTCCGCTCGTGTCACCACCGCCAAGAAGGCATCCAGATCGTCCCACGAAAATCTTTCTCCCCTCGGTATGATTAGGGACAAGCAGCACAGGCCCTCGAAATTGCGCCTCCCTGAAGCCCGTGTTCCGTTCGCAAACTATCGCGCACCATTCTCCGCCGGCCGCGTCAACAGCATTGACGAGAGAGCCACCAAGTTGACTGGGCTGGCGCGTCTACGGAGGAAAGCGCCACGGCCGCTGAGAACTACGATCAAGACACGCGAACTGAGGGATGTCGTAGCGGTCAACAACGAGAATTTCGAGTGACTGGAATGCCAAGGGTGGGGAGGAATCGCAGTCACAATGACCTGGCTGGTAATGTTGAACAAACAGATGCGGACATCATTTGCAGTGTATTCTCGTGCTCTTCGGTCTGTAAAACACCTGTTCAGTGACAAAAAAGCTTATTGGGAAATCGAATCGGTTGTATTCTGTGCTAATATGATACTGGAGAACTATTTCACAGTTGATCATACGCGACTGAACTAGCACGACGCACCATCAGTTTGTTGAGTGTAATGAGTACATTTCGAGCCTAAGTCTCCGTGGAAGTGCTGGGGCCGTGTCAATGCCTCGGCACGATTGTCTGTGTGCGTAGCGAGATGTCACGGTGATGCTATGCGAAGAACAACAGAATACAGTCGCAGACGGTAAGGCAAGTAACTACATCTGCAAGCAAGGGAGCAGGGCTTACAATAGGATAAGCGGAGTCATCGCGATGTCGAGTAACGCAGCAGACAGCCTTCCCCGGACAAAAATTGAGAGTTAGATATTGACATGGGGGTGTATCGCAGCGGTGTTTGAGGCAGTCGCGAGGATCAGTCTCAGTCACTTCCTTAGCGCTGAGCGCTGAGACAAGAAGCTAGCCAATGCACTGAATCAAAAGGCCAAATTCAGTACGGACTTTGGTAGGCAGGCTGAGCACATCACCTATGATATGGTGAGCCCAAGATGTACTACCCTCAGGGAACGGGGCCCTGCGGGCCTGTTTCCCGATCGCTCGCTCGTGTCTTGCGCGTACTAAGGACTCGAGGAGTCCAAAGCACTGAAGAAATATACGATGTCAGCAGGAGGCGGCCAACGGACAACAGCAAAATATACGCACTAAGCCAAACGAGATGTCATATTTGAGGCCGCACGACTCGTCGGGGGAGCCTCCTAAGCCTTCGATCTAACTGAATGAAAACAAAGCAAGAGTTGAATATCTGGCTTCTCGTACGATGTCCGCACTGCGATACAGACTATACTCCCAGTGAGATAGTAACGGTCCGCGGACACGGGTGGGGAAAAAGATCGAGATTGAGCCGCGGGGACGAATATCACTCCAGCAGTGCGACCACCACTATCAGCAGACCGTTCCAGGTTGAATATCACTCAATGTGCAAGGCGAGCGCTCCAACAATGCGGCACATTGGCGACTTGGCACTCCAGTGGCAGGGGAAAAGGCGACGATAGTTCGTGGGCGAGCACAGCGACGGCGCAAATTAGAGTACATATTTACGGTGCACGCGAAGTCATCAGGAAAACAAGGAAGAAATGACGGCCGGTGCTAACGGTTGGCAAACACGACCATACTTACCGGCGAATGCAAGCGCTTGCAACTGCTTGCAACGACGTCGAAATAAATTAGCACCGTTACCTCGTAGTGTAAATATTACAGGACATTATGGATTCCATTATCTAGATGACAAGCACATACAAATGCTTTGCAAAGCACTAACACGATGGCAATCGCTTGCCAACCTTTCGCAACGACAGGACAGGTACTTATTGCCATGATCAGCGATCACATCGACTCGGAGAACATAGGCGGAAAAGCAGAGAGTATTCGATTCAAGAACATAACATTCCTGGTCTGCGAGCACATCATGTACGTAGATTTACAGTGACGCATAACCGTCATCGGAATCACCCTCACCTCCATCTGAATCATCATCCTCAGGCCCTAAGTCCTCACTCATCTCGTCGCCAGAAAAATCATCCGAATCCTTCTCTGACTCCTCCAGGTCGGAGTCAGAGTCGCTGTTACTGCTCGAGCCATCGCCTGGTGCAGAGTTGTCGAAATCCATGTCGAGATCATCGGCGTCGACATCATCATCGTCATCGTCGCCCCCGCTCCCATCCTTTGTTGCGCTGTCAACATGGGTATCCGAGTTCTCACGGGGTGCAGGAACATCGGCATTGAGAGGAAGCAGTTTGCAGTGGCCGACGCCGCCGCCAATAAACCTCATGAACATGTCGCGATCAGCCCAACTAAACAAACAGCGAAGATCAGTACGGCCAGTGGTAGCAAGGTTAAGAAAAAACTCTACATGTTCACGTAGTAAGTACTCCAATCGTCTTCTTCGCCGACAGGACGAGCTACCGAGCCCAAACATTTCAATAGCTCCGTGGTTCGACCATCCGCAAAGCCAGGAATTAGATGACAGCCTCGTATGACCTCGGAGGGGTCCAAAAACCCAAAGGCGTCGGGTTCGGTATCGGGAATGAACCCTATCTTCGGCAAACGAGCAGACTTCATGCTCGCGCGATAGCCGGGAACTGCTCCGTACCAGCGGACCCACAGAAATTCGACACGCTGCACGGTCCGAGTTCTTGCCGCTGCACCTGTATGCAGCACATCGGCATGGAACACACCGAGGACACGAGCGTACCAGTAGGGGCTCGCGTTGGGCCCTGTTTCGCGGGAGCGAACCATGATATTGCAGTGTGTGCGCGGGTTCATCAAATCTTGACCGCGACGCACATCGTAGGTCGTGTAGTTGACGCGGAAAACTTTCGTGGAAAAGATGCGGTTGTTGATTATGTTAATCGTTTTGCGGTCTTCATCACTAAATTCGGGTTCCTCGTCGCTATCAGGCAGAGTGAGAAAACGAGCCAATATATGGTTCTGTAGTTTTGGGAAGAAGCCCTGCCCAAGAAGCAATATTTAGTACGTGCCACTGA